TTCTTAAAAACCCAGTCGAAACAATCTTTCAGTGCATCTCCTGCCTGTGCTAAGAGACAAATATGTTCTTCACATCACTATAGAAGGCAGAGAGAACAACAGAAGTCACTATGGGACAATCTCCATAGAAAATGGGGGCCAGGGGGTTGAGGTATGCTGAATCATTTGATTTTGTTGTAGACTTAGGATAAACATAAAGGTAAAGGTAAAGGTACCCCTGACCATTAGGTCCAGTCGCGGACGACTCTGGGGTTGCGGCGCTCATCTCGCTTTACTGGCCGAGGGAGCCGGAGTACAGCTTCCGGGTCATGTGGCCAGCATGGCTAAGCCATTTCTGGTGAACCAGAGCAGTGCATGGAAACACTGTTTACCTTCCCGCCACAGCGGTACCTATTGATCTACTTGCACTTTGACGTGTTTTTGAACTGCTAGGTTGGCAGGAGCAGGGACTGAGCAATGGAAGCTCACCCCATTGCGGGGATTCGAACCACCAACCTTCTGATCAGCAAGCCCTAGGCACTGTGGTTTAACCGACAGCACCACACACATCCCACAGGATAAACATAGATATTGATAAATTCTAGGATTGTGATTATTTGGGGGTGGGATGGGAGAAATGTAAGGTGCAAAGGAATTACTGGGTAGCCTGGCCAAGCTAGGGCTATTAAGGGAATATTAGAGAGCCATTGAGGGTCCATTGAGGGTCGTTAACAAGACAATGTTCATGCTGTAAGATCTGGACACCCTCCGTGCAGACTTAGGCTGTAAATAGGAGAATAAACCCAATTTCTTAAAGCACCACAGTCTTCGCTGTGTGTTCTATTCTCCAAAGGGACTCAGCCCCTGTGTGTGCCCCTGTGATCCTATTATTATTATTATTAATTATTATTATTATAATTTATATACTGCCCTATATCCGGAGGTCAAATTACTCTACAAGTTTGTTTGTCTCCAGCTTTGACACAAATAAAGAATTGGAAAAATCTGTTCACAGATTGCTGCATTGGCTAACTAGTTTGCCAGTATTTTCCAAGTCTTATTTATGCTTTTATTTTATTTTATTTTATTTATATACTGCCCTTCATCAAAAGATCTACACACCTTGTGACTATGTTTTGCCTTGTAATTCCTGTGCTTTTCCTCACTCTCATCCTGTTCTGTGGTGAAAAGTAAGCAAGGTAATATTGCCTGCTCAAGGCCCAAATGTTAGCAAGAGGCATATTTAATTACCTCTTGATGAGAAGCAATTAGTATGTCAGGAGAGAGAGAGAGAGAGAGAGAGAGAGAGAGAGAGAGAGAGAGAAGCCATTCCATTATACAGTCCTGAAGTTTATTTCATTATCTGTTTTGGCAGGCATTTGCAACCCTGGAATGATCTTGGTAATTATTCTGTTACAGGCTGATTTTTAGAGAATTGTTTATGTGCACTTTTAAGAAAGAGAGTGGTGTAGTTGTTAAGAGCAGTAGTCACGTAATCTGGGAACCGGGTTCGCGTCTCCGCTCCTCCACATGCAACTGCTGGGTGACCTTGGGCCAGTCACGCTTCTTTGAAGTCTCTCAGCCCCACTCACCTCACAGAGTGTTTGTTGTGGGGGAGGAAGGGAAAGGAGATTGTTAGCCGCTTTGAGACTCCTCCGGGTAGTGATAAGGCGGGATATCAAATCCAAACTCTTCTTCTTCTTCTTCTAATGTATATATGCTGGTATATATGCAATGCGCAGGCAAAGCTGCCTTGAGGACCCACTTTTGAGTTAAACCTAGAAAGATCAAATAAGCAGTTGTGTTTCGGCGTCTGTGTCTCCTGCTTCTGTCACTCATGGGAGAACAGATTTCTTCCTCTTAGCCCAAGCAGTGAATGCAGGACAAGGCAGCCTCCCCGGTTCTTTCATAACTGTTTCTTGGAAGTGGAAAGGCAGGCAGCTCCCTTGTTTCCTCCCTTGAGCCTTTATTGGCATCCTTGCAGGGAGAGAATTGTATTTCTGCACTTCAGATGCAGCTCTTGCCCTTGGAGGCATTTTTCTACCATTCCAACAACAGCTTGATAAGAGAACCCTCCAGAACTTAATCTGGGCAGAGGTTCACAAGACTCTGTCCCAGAGTATTTGTGTAATGTGGTTATTCCACAGCCGTTCTGCTGCTTAAAAAAAAACCACACGTTGTTAAGAGGAGATGCAGATTTGTGCACTCAAGATTAGGAATGCACAGCCTCCGACGCCCACCAAGCCCCTCTTCCAAAGGTCTTTTTCTCTGTGGCATCACATCACTTGGGAGATGCTGTGCAAATGTCGCAGGGCCAGTGTGAACACCCAGGTCCTCCTGATCTGGATTCTGGAGTGGGGAGCAAGGGCCATCCCTGCTGCCACTCTGAACATGAACTTTGGAAACACTCTGAAAGCAGCAAGCCATTCTGCACCTCCAGAGATGCTCAGAGGCTCATTGTGACAACAGAAGAGACTGCATGTCCTTCTCCGGGCACCTGAGCTGGGCAGAAACAGTCGCCACCAGAAAACAAAAATGTGCTTGTTTGCCAATGGTGAGCATGTTTTGGGTGACCTCTGTCACTACCGTGGAGCTCCATAACTGCTCTGGGTTGTGTTTTTTTAGGGGGTGCTTGAGCAAAATGCCCACAGTGGGAGCCTTTTTTGAGGGGCTTCCCTCTTCACTGCTGCCCATTCACTTGCCTTCTCCCTCTGGGACCCTTCCAGTCAGCTGCCCAGAGAGAAAGGTGAAGCCAAATGGAAGATGCTGTGCCACCATCTCCTCTTCTCAGCACCAGTATGTTTAGAGAGGGCAAGTGGATGGGTGACAGCAACAAAGTAGAACACCCAGCAGCAGAGGCGGGATGTTCTGAGGCTTGGCCATGGGCCCCTGCAGAGGGTCGTGGGCCTAATAGTGATGGATCCTGTGTTTCCATGCTATACAACAGGGACACACTCCACATCTAGAAGTGTTTTGACTAGGAGTGGGGAAACTATAGGTGTTGACAGCTCCCCTCAGCAATGCTGGCTGGGGCTGATGGGAAATGAGGATACACCATCTAGAGGGCCACATCTTTCCCATCCCTGGCTTAAAATTGTGTTTGTGTATCTATCTACTGTCCCCGCCCCACAACTCAATGTCAGTATGAGGTGCATGAGTTTTCATTACCAGCAACGTGATGGGCAGTAGGTGCTTATGCCACTTTTGCAGCCGCAGTCCAAACTCTAAAAAATATTTTCATAGGCATTCTTGCAGCGTGATAGTGGGGGACAAAACTGCAGTTCAGGGCCAAACACAGCACTTTTGTTTCCCAGGATATTCAAATTTCTCCACTGAAATATGCAGAGAGGAATACTCCCATGGCAGAAGGCTTCCAGCTTCATCTACTGAACATTAATTGTGGCCAAACAAAATTGGGCATTAGCCAGTATGAGTTTAATCCCTGCCAAGGCACCAGAAGCAGGAACTGAATGCTTCTAGAATGCAGGAGGAGATTCAGTCTAGCACCTGTTTTCATTCAAGAAAACCCCTAAGGTGTGGGGCTTCAGCAGTTACCACTACTGTCTGAACTGGGTAGGAGCGGAAGGTTGCTCAGTAGCATTGCGCTTTTATGGTGCCTCCGCTGCTCTCAAGCGCAGAAAAGAAGTTTCCAAATGACAAGTCACTTCTGCCTTATGGGAGAGACATTCAGCCGCCAGTGGTGGGTGTGCAAGATGATAAACCCTCTGCTCCTGGTGTTGCATTATGTCCACATGGAGAGGTTGCAGAGGCATCATGCACATCCTGTCCATTGCAAGTTTTAGAAATGGAATTTGAAAGGGACAAGGATGCCATCTTGATGCAAGACCCTCAGGGGTGGGAGACGTGTGGGCCACATCAACCCATACATCATGCATCCCATTATGTAGTGCTTATGACAGATGCGCTGCAGAAAAAACGCTGAGCAAATCATTTCAGATGACCCAGGTCCACTGGCTGTTGGTGAAGGAACAACAGCTTTGCAGATGGGTAGTTACCCAGGTCTCTCCATATACCTTTTGCAAGAAATCCCATGGCAAAGACCAATAAATCCATGGTAAGACCAATAAAGTTTCCCTTCTCTAATTGATGTTAACTATAATGTCAGTTCGGTTTATGTCTGGGCACAAGAGGCACACACAGTTCCTCCTTATGTACACAAACAGCAGCGAGATGTCAAGTATTGGGCTCTTCTCCTCTTGGAACACAATGTCCAAAGATGTGTTAACAAAAGACCAAGAGCAGCAGTGTCTCTCACAGAATGTCACTGAAACAGGGAACTACAGCCAGCCTAGCTTACCTTACCTTGCCCAATCATCAGGGTCCTCACCTGTTGCTGGACTCCAGCTTCCCTCATCCCTGATCGTTAGAGCTGATGAGAGTTGGGAGTCCAACAGCACCTGAATGGCTCTCAGATCCCCCACCAGTGCTCTAGTCCAGTGTTTCCCAACCTTGGGCCTCCAGCTGTTTTTGGACTACAACTCCCATCATCCCTAGCTAGCAAGACCAGTGGTCAGGGATGATGGGAATTGTAGTTCAAAAACAGCTGGAGGCCCAAGGTTGGGAAACACTGCAGTCTAGTCTACTCAGCACAGGCCTTTTATGTTCATGCCTAATGAATCCAGAGACATTAATGTCTTGTGCTTTTACAAAGCTTAGATATTGGGGGAAGAGCTGTTTGATGAATCAGAATGTAGTGAAAATTGGATATAAATGACAGAGTGTTTGGTGCTTACACCTTGCAGTCACAAAAGCAGAAAGGAGACAGATGTAGTATTTACAGGAGGAAGACAGTAATATTGTACACCAGGTGGCACATAGCTGAACTATTTTCAGAATGCTGCCTCAATGGAGCGGGCTTGTGGCTGCCGACTAAGATTGGAAACTCTTGTACCTAAAATGGTTCTGAAACCGGAAGGCATGACCCCATCACACAAACTTACGGCATTCCCTGCCCTCAGGGCATTTACTAGAAGACGAGCAAACAACTTGGACACTTTCCCTTCAAGAAATATATATATATTCATTACAATAAATACATCTTTCAAGTTATATATAAAAAAGTAGTGCATTAACTGTTCACTTAAGACAAGTCGAAAGCAAATTTGGCCCCATTTGAGCCTACAGAAAGGTGATACAAGTTCATATTGCACTCAACCCTGGGCGTAGTAGTGAAGGTCAAGCTGGAGAAAGAGGCCGACTCCTTTGACCTAGAAGACACTCTGTGCCACACATTTGTGGCTCTTCTGCCAGTTTGTGAGGTAGAGCAAAGCTCACAGCTTTCAACACTGCTGCCAAGTCCCTGCTTAGGGTGATTTGGGGCGGGGCCAGGGGTACCTCAGAAACACTTTAAGAAAAGCACATTGTAGCTTCTGGCTTTTCCCTTTGACGATGAAAAAAGAACACCGTTTGGCTTCCTCAAACCCCATTTGCAAATCTACTCAGAAGTAAGCCTCAGCAAATGCAATAGGACTTGCTCCCAGATTAGCATGCATAGGATAGGAGCCTTCCAGAGGATTTTTCAGGCAGCTTCTCGCCCTGCAATAATGGAGGCTCTCTCCAGTTTCCACTGCCAGTCCAGTGACAAGAAGCATCCCCCCCCTCTTAAAACTGCTGCACCCATTGGCTTTATTAATCTGACTTTTAGTTGTATTAAAAAGTGTGTCTGTTGTGTTTGCTCCTGTTCTTGGTCAAAAAGGTATACTTCAGCCCCTCTGGAGGGCAGAGTCACGTTCATTCTTCCACTGAAGACTCCTCAGGTTGGTATATGTAGGGCAGGATGGAGATCAGAGCCTCCTCAATTGAGAACAAGTGCTCATCTTCTACCTGAGGGCAAAAGTAGCGCATGAAGTCTGCCAACCGCAGCAGGTATTCTATATTGTGGCCAGAACGACCGCTGGAAACTATTATTTGAGCTGCAATGTCCTCTTCAGATGCTGGACCAAGGTAGGAGGGATTCTGCGGGGTTGCAATGTAAACCAGGGCTAGGATAGGCTCAGTCTCTTTATCCTGGGGGTGGAACTTCACCAGCTTGGTGTCGTAGCCTCCAAGCACGGCTTCCCGCATATTTAAATATTTGAGCGAAGCAGCAATTTGATCACCACGGAGTTCATAGGCAACACCCCATGTGCAACCCTGCAATGAATAAAAAATTGACAAGGATTACTTGCTGCGACAGAGGCAGAAACAGAATCATATGCATTATATCCTGGAAGCTGATGAAACTCCTGTTTTTTACGTAAACCTGTTAACTAGGTCACACAAGGCTCCTAAAACCACTGGTCAGGGATGGATAAATGTCTCTTCAAAAGAAAGCACCATTATCCTTGTTTTGACAACTCCTTTTGTGACATGAAAGGAGAGCACAGATAGATTTTCTGATCACCTTGTCCATCGCTTTTACATTTTTATTCTGAAGGCTCATGCAGAAGCAAGCTCATTGTTCTCAGAAAGGCTACAGCTTGGTCCAAAATGCATCTGATCAGCTGTGTTTTGCTCCTCTATTATGTCTCAGACTTAAACTTTCAGTGGGTCTATGACCATATAATAAACGATAGAGACTTAAATTTAATTTCCACACCAAGACATTTTCTGCTCATTTTACTACATGTCTTGGTAACACAAAGAAATACTAAGACTTGCTCACAGAGCAGTCTCCTCACTCCTTACCAACTGAAGCAATTTTGCATTTGCTCTTCTCCTGTCCAGCTATGCATAACATACAGCTTGCTGCCAAGTCCAATCTCATTTTAAAGGACTTTGAGGCAGGCTGGAGAAGTCAGAGACCACTAAATTATAAAAACACTGGCTATTCCTTCCACTCCAGCCTACCCACTGAGTGATTAATCCAATCGGCTCTGACAGAGGCTCCAGGAAGGACACGGCACCATTGACTCAACCACATACCAAATATTTTTCAGCAACTATTTATCTTGTAGGATGTCTGAAATATTATCTCAGCTTTCTCTCATCACCTGAAGATAAGCCCATGTTCATGGCCCCTTACTATATATACACAGCATCCCACTATCCCAACCGCCTAATGTTTCTTGAGGCATTTTGGGCATCCTCCTAAAGCCATAGAAACAAGAAATGCTACATGTCTAGCTGCAGCACTATGACGAACCTCCCCTTCCCCCTCTGTGCAGGAACTAAAGGGGAGGTGGTGAACTCTTTTAGAACTGTTCTGGATTATGCCCAGAAGAACCCAGATTAAGCCTTGCTTTACAGGTGTGTTGAATGAACTGGATAAAGATGTAAACATAAATAACTTACCTCATAATCCTCTTGGAGGGTGACCACTCTACCAGGCTAAACAGGAGAGGAAAGTCAGAGTTAACACACAGTATCAGATATCCACCCGGAAAGCGCAAGCGAAGCACCGCCACACCCAAGGATGCTCCACAAGGAGGCCAGCACTGCAGGCCAACCACACAGGAGGCACAAGCTGCTCTCCAACCAGCACACGGGCAATGCCAAGCCAAGGGCAAAAGGGGTCGTGCGGATCTGCAGCCCCTCTTCAAACCAGCTCCCTCAGCAGCAAATGCTGCTTATAAGCTACCCATCCCTTCCAAACCTGGACCACCACCCGGGTCGCCACCCACAGGCATTCTTCCCGAGAGACACCCAGGGTAGAGAGGCGCCCATCTATCACTCCCACACCCGCCTCGAGGGAGACCCAGGACAGAGGCGCCCATCCATCCCCCCCGCCCCGATCTCTCTCCCCTCCCCACAGCAAAGGGGCGCCCCCTCTCACCATCTTCTCGCTGCCTCGGTGGAAGGTGTCTCCTTGCCAGAAGCGGCGGGTGTAGCCGCGGATGAAGCCCACTTTGCGCGACGTGAACTCGAAATCGGGTCTCCACACCAGCGAGCCGTAGCCGAAGACCCACAGCGGGGATTTGGGCGGCCCGCCTTCCGCGGCGGCCAGGTCTTCCTCCTGCTGCGGCCGCCCAAGGGGGCGCTCCCCTCCGCTGGGAGGAGGAGGATGCTGCGGGTGCAGCGGCAGCGGATCCCGCTTCATGGCCCCGCGCGAGGAACCCGGGAAGCAGCCTGCGACTTGGAAGCGGCAGCGCTGGACCTGCGCTCCGGGGAAGGAGGCTGCCCGGGAGAGAAGGTGGCAAATGCTTGGCACGGTGGCTGGCTGGCGGCGAGGAGGCAAGAGTAAAGCGGACGCTTCCACGATTAACTGTGCGCCTCCTGCACCCCCAGCCTCTTTAAATACCAGCTCGCCGGGCAAGCCCCACCCATCTGTCATGGAATTCTGGCGGCTCGCGCCGTCCACTCTCCAATCAGCGCCTCCGGCGTCACGGTAGCCGCGCGTTGTCCCGCCTCTCTGGAATCTGGATTGCTCAGAGGGAGCTGTCGGTCACGGGCGGAGCGCGCGCGCCGATTGGGTTCCCCCCGCCGCTCGCTGCATCAAGCCTGGATGATGCAACTCGGCTGGAAGCTTTCGAGCAAAGGAGGCAGGTGATTGCATCAGGCGGTCCTTTCGGCCGGGCTGCGGGCGCAGGCAGGCGCGGGGCGGAGGATCGGGGTCAGCGGGGGGAAACCTGCTTTAGCGGGTGGCCTTAACGGGGTGCAAGTCTGTGCATCGGCTGTCGAGGGCATTTAGAGGCAGTAGTTTGCCCCCAGTTTATGCGCTGCACGTGATATAGAATACATGCTGATCTCTGCCTAGCAGTGCTGATCGGCAGGACCCCCCCCCACCTTGGCGGGAGGGTACCATGAAATCATATTGGCACCTCTAAAGGATGTGCGGAGAGGGGACTGAATCGTACACCACTGGTTGTTTTAAATATCGAAATAAAACGAGCAATACAGGATACAAAGAAAAAGAGGCACCCTTTTCTCCATCTCTGGCTGAACTAGATGGGCCTCCCAACTCTACCATTCCATAGTATTCTGTGGTAGATTACTATGGTAAAAGCAGCTGATGTCAAATTCCTGACGTCCTGGCTTTTTGTTGTAAAAATGGTGTGTGTGGGGGGGGGATTTTGCCGAATTGGCAAATATCAGGGGGAAACCTGGATGTATGGCAACGCGATGGAAAAAGCAGTGGAGAAAGCTCAAAAAGCTTCAACCCCCCCCCAAAAAACCCCACAACAATTTGGGTTTGTTCCCAAAAAGAGCTCATCCAATTTGGGGTGTTGGGAATTCTTCTTTTTGAAATATACCAACCCTACGTTGAAATATACCAGCTCGGAGCAAAGACACATCTCATGCGCATTTACGTACACACACACACACAGGCTGGGGTGCTCAATGGTGCCCCTCTGGAGGCTTCACCCAGGACAAAAAAAAACAAACAAGCTAGCCCCCGCCCCCCCTTCCCAACAGCTCTGGTTACAGGCATCTTCATAAATCCTCCTTCTCATAAGATGATCTATATTCTCCAGCTAACAAGAAACCCACATGCAGGAGAACCTGGGCACCTTAGAGGTTGTTTGGCTTAAGCGCAAGAGGCTGGAGCAGGATGGGTGTTGGCTTAGCATGGCCAGGCAGTTGCTGAGGCCCCAGAATCCACTTGGAGGGCCTAGTGGCTTGGATTTCCCCTTGGATGCTGAGGTGGCAAAACCACCACTGCAGGTGGTAGAGGCTGCCCTGTGATGTTTGACATTCACCCTGGATGAGAAGGATTGGGCTACTAGCCATGGTGGCTATGTAAGTTGTACCTCTACCTTTGGAGGCAGAACATCCCTGGATGTCAGTTGCTGAGGAGCATGAGTGGGGGGAGTGCTGCTGCACTCAGGTCCTGCTTTGAGACTTTCCATAGACCTCTGTGAGAACAGGATGCTGGACTTGGTGGGTCTTTGGCCTGATCTTATGTTCTTAGGACAGTGAAGAGGTTTTTGCAGGAGCACCCAGTCACTCTCTCTCTCTCTCTCTCTCTCCCTGTGGGCAGCACGGAGGGGAGCATTAGTCCTGCTGAGAAGAAGAATAGGGAGCCCACCAAAGGTATTTTGCTGAGGGCTTCTCATAACTTAGAACCAGGCCTATGTCTCGTGTCACCATCTGTTCTCTATTCTGTGTCATCATCAGTTGCCGAACTGTTGCTTGAGGTCAGCAGAACAGTCAGTGGTGATAGTAGCAGCTGCTGTGGGGGCTATCTGTGCTGAGATCTGGTCCTCATGGCTTCCTGAGGGGTTGTGCCAGCTCAGCAGACAGTGGTAAGATGGAAGTACTTGCCAGTGCTATTTTTCTAGAAAAAGAGGTGCTGGAATTCACCACGAATGTCTCCTTTGTTCTCTTACAATGCCACCCACCTGAGAGGTGCTGGAACTGAGTTCCGGCGAGTTCCGGTCCCAAAAAGCCCTGCTCCTAGCTAGGATTTAGGGGTGGGGTGCAGAAAATGCATGGGGATAATACAAAACGATTGCAAGAATCTGACCTTGCTTTTAGTCACTTGACCAAAATGAATGAATAAAATGGTTTGCTCACCAGTTTCTGCAAGGGTTGCCGGACGCATGGATAACAATGCAGTGGATGTGAGATGAAGTGGGTGGGCCAGGCACAGGATGTGGTTTCAATTTGCTCTGACAATGGTGTCAAGGTATTAGCCATCTCAATGGCAATGTGCAGCTCAGTGCTTGAATTATTGGGCATGGGGATACATCAATAAGCTCTACTGCCTGACTCCTCCCATCCATTTTAATGAAACCATAGTTTCCCTGTTGCCTTCAGAAACTGTGGTTAAGGAGACTGTCACAAAAGACAAGTAGGCTGGCCCTCCTCTGCCCAGCCTGTGATTCAAACATTGGCTCGGCATCAAGAGTAAAGATTGGCCTGAGAAATCTATAATGGCCTTTAAAGATAGTGGTCTGGAGATAATAATCAAGGCAAGAGAAAGGTCTGCATTATGAGTGCCCGTATATCTAATGATGAGGCATGAAGCACCTGGTAACCTAAATAGATCATGCAAGACTCAAGAGTTCCTGTGGCTTCAAAGACAACAGGCAGTGACGTGTTGGGTGTGGCCCCAAATTCTCCAATTTAGGCAGGCAGAGGAAGAAAGATACGAAGAGGCAGAGGCTGAACTGCTCACTGACTAGACTTTTTTAACCCTACTAGGTCAAACATTTAAGCGGTGCATCTCAAGCACCTTGCTTATATTATGAGTTTTAGCCTCTGTAGCAGCCCTTGGACAAGGTACAGAGCTGACAGGGTCCATTCTTGTTGCACCACAGAGAGAATTTGCAATATCTTTTCAAGGTTTATGTACTTTGTTTTAAAATGTGCCTTCAGAATCATTTGGGGGGGGGAAGAATTAATGCTTCGATTTATTTTTTGAAAGTGATACTGAATTAAAATGTTCACATGAACATTTAGTCCAGGAGTTATTTAACTTAAAACCCATGGCTTCAGAACCTGCATTTCCATTTCTGAGGGGACAGCATGCTGCAAATGCCAAAATGCTAATACCTGCATTCAAAGTCCTGCCCAGCCATGTATCTTTCTGGGTGGCATGACATGAATTCTCCCTCAGTTTAATCTACTTCACAGGGGTTGATGTGAAGATAAAAGTGTAATTTGTATATGAAAAAGCCCTGTAGAAAGGTCCTGTGACAATGAAAGCTGAGTGGGAAAACTTTGAGACCCACTGTCCCTCATAACCACTTCCTAGCTTGGAATTCAGTTTGTCAACTGCTCAGGGAGCAAAATGTCCCAAACATTAGTATCAGGGGTCAGCAAACTTTTCCAGCAGGGGGCCAGTCCACTGTCCCTCAGACCTTGTGGGGGGCCAGACTATATTTTGAAAAAAAAGAAATGAACAAATTCCTATGCCCCACAAATAACCCAGAGATGCATTTTAAATAAAAGCACACATTCTACTCATGTAAAAACACGCTGATTCCCAGACCGTCTGCGGGCTGGATTTAGGCGGCTATTGGGCTGGATCCGGCCCCTGGGCCTTAGTTTGTCTACCCATGTTTTACATCATTGGATGAAGACAAATCAAGGCTGGCTCAAGGATTTGGGATTCTGGTATGCAGAGTCCGCAACAGACATGGTGCTTTGCAAGACCTGCATCCCAGTCAGGCTAGATAAGAATTTTGCTGTGAGAAACTGTTCCTCGCTAGGCTATAGTGGAGGAGTGGAATTACTGGCTCATATTTAGTAAACAAATTATCCCTCCAGGGTGAACATTCAGTGTGTTAGTCTCAGGTGACTGAGGCATATGCACAGGTATGGATTAGGCTTCTTTCTGACAATGGTGAATCACAGCCAAGCAAGAAGGCCATTTACAGAGCTGGGGTGATGCATCGGAACGGACTGTAACAAAAGCAATTATCTTCACTTCAGCTGCAGACATCATACATCTAGAAGCAAGCTGAGGATGTTCCTGTGCTGGAGATTGCTGGACAGTGACCAGCTAAGAAACTTATATAGATAAACCAGAGTCATGGAGAGATCGTACTGTTCAGAGAACACTGACAGCGAGGTAACAACTGGCAGTGCAATGCAAACTCAGCTCAGTTTGGCCTCTCTTGCGTCAGCTTTCTGCTTGACGTTTATTCTTTCTAGTTAACTATCAAGACTTGGTGGAAAACCACTTCCTTTCATAGGATTCCGGTTTGCGCAGTTTGTTGGGCAACTGCATGAACCTATGGAGTTAGAGTGAACCCATGTATAATAAATCAAACTAGCTGGTCTTTGTTTTGTTTTGTTAATAACAGCAATGTTTTTCATATAAGCAGATTATATTTACATAGGATAGATTCAAGCTGCTATTTTAACAAATCTTCAGAAAGGGTTAGGTTTTATGGATAGGGTAGAAACTTGCAGCAATCGCATGGCTGCTTAGATGGAATTTCTCCCTCCCCTTTTCCTTGTTATGCAAATATAGCAAACAAACAAACAACAACAACAAAGTCAGCTCACATTAACAAAAAAATAATCCATCACTGCTGACTTAAAAGACACGCATATATGTAAGCGTTTTATATGTCCAAATAGATATCCAGATTTATGATTATGATCATGATTCCTGTATTGCAGGGGGTCCAACTCTACAATTCTACGATTCAATGATTATTAATGATGTATACTAGTTATATGCCAAAATTCATCCCTGGTACTATTGGAACCAGCTCCCAGGTCTTGTTCCTTTCTAAGGAATCAAGTTCAGTCTTCATGGCTTTTAGCCATGGCTCTGCATCCTTTGAGGTTAACTCCTGGACCTCTTGGAAGCTTGAAGGTTCCCAAACCTTCTCTGAGATACTAATCCCAACAGTGCCTCCTCGCACTGCCCCACAG